AGCAGTTTCGTTTAGATGCTGTTTTGACTCATTTCGAGCTCAAAACAGCAAAATCGAAATGAAACAGCCTCAAAACGAAACGAGGCAAGACAAAATGTTTTGAACCCAGACTCCCCCTGCACCCATCTCCTTGACAGCTGGCAGGCTTTGTGGCCACAGCAGGGCCTAGCAGGTCTGCAGTTTTTGCCCCCCTGTGCCCCAAGACAGACACAGTCCCACAAGAACCCATGTCACAAGTTTTGCCTGTCAGCAGCCAGAGGTTCAGGGCCCCAGAACCCAGAAGCCCCTGCACCTATCTCCTGGCCAGCTGGCAGGCTTTGTGGCCTCAGCTGGGGCTAGCATGCCTGCAGTTTTCACCCTGCTGCGCCTTAACACACACAGTGTCACCCATGTCATGAGTTTTGCTTGTCCGCAGCTTGAGGTGCAGTTTCCCTGAAACCCCTGCACCTGTCTTCTTGAAAGTGTCACAACCCAGTTAATCAGTGCCCATGCCACTAGCAAGAGACACACCATTCAGACCATCCTCATTTTGCACACAGTAGTCAACTAAGGGTTAAAAGAAATCCTTGCCAGAAACTCCTGAAACAAAATCCTGGCGGAGAGCTGTATATAATTTATGCCCACGTCACAACCAAGAAACGAAACTTAAGACTGGTCAGGGTGAAAGGGGATAGCCCTGCCATAAGTCCTTGCAATAAAACCCGGAGGGAAAACTGTATATAATTGGTCAAGAAACAAGCGTAAGCCCCTCATCATAACCTCATACGTAACAGGCAGAAAACCTAACCCACTACCTTGTAACCTGATAGCAACCTGAGAGCACAAAGAACTGCTGCTTGCCAGAAAATTAAAGATTCCACATAACGGTTCATCATTGGGTATCTCCATCAGACACCTCTGTCTATAAATAGTTTAGCAACTTCCGCCCAAGCTGGAGAACCCTGGAAAAATCTCTGAGGAGAAACCTAAGTCCATCACCAGAGTAGCTTGATGGTCTGATCATCCGTCAATCACTCCCCGTCATCGTTAATTTTGACGTAATAAAGCCCTGCAGGCTCGATAGTCTGTTCTTGGCGCGCTTCGTTCGTCATCGCTTGATATCGTAACCCGACCTTGTTCGCTCAACTGTAACCGAAGCAACTGTAACAGGAACAAAGGCTCAGCCTGCGTTGCACGTCACTATCTGGGTGACGTAAGTAAACAATCTCCTGTAACCAACATGCGTCTGTGCCTGGTTAATTCCACTCCATCCATTAATTACCCGCCTGTCAAGGTGAAAGTTTTACTGCTCCGGTGTGGGGGGTGGTCAGAAAGCAGCTGCCAGCGCTGCTCTGATCTCTGACAGAAAGCTGGCAGGCTTTGTGGCCTCAGAGGGGGCTAGCGCATCTGCAGTTTTGATCCCTCTGTGGCTTAACACATACACGTGACATGAGTTTTTTGCTTTCAAGAATTTGGGGTGCAGTTGTCTTCAAACCCCTGCACCTATCTCCTTGAAACTTGGCAGGCTTCATGCCCTCAGAAAGGGCAAGCAGTCCTGAAAGTTTCATCCAAATCAGGCCAGAAATGACAAAGTTATAGGCTGTTTTGAGCTTCCCCAGTATAGCCTATGGGCAAAATGTTGAAACAGCATCGGAACAGCAAAACTGTTTCAGTGAAACGAAATGGAACAGCAGTTTCGAGTTGAAAAGAAATTTGAAACGAAACGCTGTTCCACTGAAACATCGAAATGCAAGTCGAAACAGAACAGTGCTGTTTCGCACAGTCCTGGTAGTCATGTTCTACCTGTTCTTTTCTTCACCCTGGCTGTTTTCTCCTATTAACTCAGACTTCAACTTAATGCAGACACTTTCATGAATATGGATGGAACTTCCAATTTTAATAAGCAAAGTCATTTAAGTAACATTGGTTTGTTGTTAAAACGCAGCGTTATTTCAGAATACACACATACTCATATACATATACTGGTGTGTTTAGATCATAGGCATGTGCCCCCCCTGAAACTGGCCACTGCCAAAGCCGCCACCAGTTTCTGTGGGTGGTCACCACCCCCCACAGGTTGTCTTCCCTTGAAAGGCATAGATCAGCCCAATGGTTCTCAACCTTTTATACTCAAGGCACCCCCTGATAAATTTGAGGCATCCCCCAATAAACTTGTGGCACCCCTCAGTAGATGTGAGGCAACCCTCAGAAAATACCAGCTCTTAGCTTTCATTCATTTGTGATGACAGAAAAATAATAGAGCAATTATTATACTTTAAAGAGCTGGAAAAGACCACAATGGAACAGAATGTTTTAATATGTGTTTCTATTTGAAATCTCTGGGTTTATCATGTGCATCATGTTTGCATCCCTAATGGTGTTAAGATTGTGTTGCACCTTGTGACACCCTTGAAAGAATCGTAAGGTAATAAATTTAAAATTAGCACAAGGAATTTCTTTTTCACAGTGAATAATTGAGGTGTGGAACTTGTTGCTACCATATGTGGGGGAGGCTGACAGTTTAGTTTGATTCAACAAGGGACTGGACAAATTCTTAGAGAAAAGGGGCATCAGTAACTATTGAGCATGGGAGTTAGGGGTACAGCCTCTGAATCAGAACTTCCTAGACCTTAAATTCTGGAGGCTGTAGGTGAGAGAGGAGCAGTGGACAAAACCCTGGTCATCATTACCTAGTTCTCTCTCCCTTTTAGCATCACTGCCACTGTGGGACAGGCCTATTTGACACATGTGTCTACACATGCAATGGATGCACCTGAATTTTCTGTGCAGAAAATTAAGGTGCATTAGGGCATGTGTCTGCATGTGTGCCCCCATCAGGAGCAAACGGCCTGATGGGAACAGCTTAGGTCAGGGTGCTCCTGCCCTGGTCTGCCCGCCTGCAGCAGCCAGGGAGATCTCCCGGCTCCCCCTGGTGCCAGCCCCAGGCTGGCAGGGGGTGTGGGGGTCAGGCCTGAGCCACAGGGGGCAAGGGGAGCTCTCTCACAGTCTCCGAGAGATCAGGGCTGGCCCTGAGCCCCAGGGGGAGGTGTCCCAGCTCCCAGGACAGCTCTCCCTGTCCTGAAGAGATCAGGGCTTAGCCAGGCAGCCGTTGTGGCCCCCTCTGCCTGGGCTGACCAGGAACAAATTGTACCGGGTCAAGGTCTACTCACATGCTGTGGCACATTGGTTAATGCTGTTTTTTCTACTACCTGTATGTATTGGTACTAACAAATGGCACATTAGCCTAATTTAATGGGTAATAAAGTGTCTTGTGTAGATGCGCCCATTGAGGACATTGGGTCTTAAGCCCACAGAGCAACAGTTGGCCCCCCTGTTAATATAGGCTACTACTGTGTGACAGGGCACTGGGCAAGACGGACCTATAGTCTGGCCCAGGAAGCGGTGGCAGTTTGCCGTGGAGCCCTTCATGGTTGTGACAGTCATCCTGGGATGCGAGCGAGCTTTCCTCATGTACCAGGACACTCACTGAAGTGTGACCACGTCTTCGGGCTCCCCTCACCCCGCCGCCGCCACCCCCAGCACCAGATTGCTTTTTAAAAAAAATAAACAAGTCCTCTTGAATGCGAGGAATGTGCCGGCTGCCAGGAAGGCTCCTCGGACAATAAACAACCGGCTCCTCCACCGCCAGCTCTACAAAAAAGCCAGGGGGGTCACCCACCGGGTGCAAGCTGTGCCCGGGCGACTTTTCCCCCGGGGGGCTCGTGTTCCCCCTTCCCCCGCCCCTTGGTGGCACAGCCAGGAGGGGCTGCCCCTTCACGGAGCCGCAGCGAAGTGAGTTTTGCCCGGGGGGGCTTCAGGCCCCGCCTGCCCCC